TTAAAACAACATTTTTTGCAATATCCGTGAAGTACGACTAGTACGAGTACCTAACTCACTTCACTCCGTACATAAAAGCTTTAAACATGTACGTAGGTATAATTCATGAACTACTTGTCTAATATTCGAATTTTAAAAAGTAAAATAGTTCACCGCTATTGCCGGTTGCTACGCAAAGTTTTCATCTTTTGTATATTTATATTTATTATTTATTCTCTAGTTCCCTTTCTTTACTTCTTTAATTTTTTAATGTACGGTTAAACCGGTCTTGAACAAATTCTGAAAAAGTCACATAAATTCACACTACCTAATGGCGCACTATAGTTTAGCAAAAAATTTGAAAAATTGAAAAAAAGTGGGAACTGGAGAAATGTTCATATTAAAAATATTACACGAGTGTTAAAAGTAAACGATGTGATTACCAAATCATGCGAATGGAAGAATAACGAAATGAGCTAAATATGAAACGAGTATATATTATATTATAATTTATAATATACGTGATTAAGTAGCCGCGGAACTTAGATAAAACATATTAAGGCACAATTTAACAATTGTAACCATTAACTTAGTGGAATGATGTGGGCCATAGGATTGGGCTAGGTTTCGTATTACCGGACGAGCTAAAGCCTATAATAAATTGGTTACGAGCTAGTAAATCTGTATACACTATATATTATTATATACGTAAATTGTTAACGTTTTTCCGCGAAACACATCAAAAACAGTAAATTATCACACAATTAATGATATACCTAATTAATAGCACGTGATAGTATTTCAACGTATTTGCACGATCGCCGCGACAGGTATACATAATATTATTCTTTGAAAAGCACCTTCGTGGCTTTACAACTCGTAATATTATTATTATTATTATTATTATGTGTTTATTCGCAGAGCTCACTGCTATAGCTCTACGGCACCGAGTCGATGTAACCCAACGTTTCTTAAATTGTGTTCTGCAGAACTCCGGGGTTCCGTGGAGCTTAGGTAATTTTCTTTCAACATTTTCAGGAAAATTACTTTAAAACATCTAACTAAAGATTTTAGATTAGTAGCGGTTAGTGAAGAAAAAACATGTTTGTACAACTTTCATCAATAAAGTCCAATATTAAAATTATTTGTATTAATAAAAAATAATTTCACTTGTCTCGTAAAATTAAATTTTAGTCTAATTTAAGTAATTTAAGCATTATTATTATTTTATTTTTATTTATTAAATAAAGGAATTAAATACCTTTAACGCGTTATTGTTATTATATTATGATTAATATAATTATAATGTTTATTGCAAGTAGTCCTAAAACAAGCTATAAAGCTAAAAAAAAAGTAAGGGTTCCACGATAAAAGTGAACATCAAAAAGGGTTCCATCGTTCCATGGATAAAAAAGTTTAAGAAACACTGGTGTAACCGATACCACTAGCGCGCAGACTATCCGTGGACTGTGGATAAATGTGTATGGATATATAGGTCGACCATAGTCGCGGTCGAATATGATTCTACAAATCTACTGAATCGTGTAAATCTTAATATCCATTTGTATAATATATTGTGCATACGTGATTCCTCAAATCGCATGTACGACGTATGTCGTATACTGCATGTATGCACGCGATCCCGCGTATGATTTTAAACGCTACATTGCATATTATGATATCTGTTTGCTCTCGTCAAAAGCATACGCATTTATTGTATCATATGATTTAAAAGAAGAGATGACTCGAAAGTCGAGAGTGTACGAGTGTCGATAGTATCCAATTATATTTATTACGATATAAAATATTAAAATAGATAAATATTTTATTACGAGTTATATAGGTACATTTAGTTATTTATTCGTTGTACGAAATGCGTATACGCATTGGGCTAAAACAGCCCGTCTACAAATCGGCCCCTTACCTGTACAAAGAAAGTCGATAATAATTTTTTGTATTGTTTTTATGATATTATATCTTAAAAATCATTTATGTTATAAAATAATTAGTTTCTAATGAAAACGAAATAAATCGCACGATTCCAATAGTCAGAATTTTAAGTACGATAACTTCAACGATTTCCTATATATGTATATTATGGAATAATTAAGTCTATACTGTAATTATATCTGTTCGTGTTTGATAGAAAATAACATTGTTTGTGTACAAAGTTGATGCGATTGTCAAGATCTACACGACTCCGCAAAACATATGATAACCTGCAATAACGACTGTAATCCAGTCCTCATCATAATATTGTAGGTGCTGCAGTTTATTACCATACGTCTTGTGTTAATACTCATAAATATAAATATAAAGAAATACGCAGTGTGAATATTTTTAACTGTAACACGAACACAATATACTGATTGGTGAGGTTTCCTTCATTCCTTTTGATATATTATATTATTTTTCTGTGTAATTTTTATGTACGTTCTAATAATCTGCCGTGTAATTATATTCGAATATAGCCACACATTAAGAGGACACCTTTTTATGTTATTTCCGTCTTACATACACACAACATAGCAATTTTTCGATCAGAAAAATCTATTTTATGTTGTTAGCTTTAATATTAGAGTAAATTTAACTACTATCAAATTTAAAGGTAAGAATTTTATATAGGCTATCACATAGGCTTTTATTGATATTTTAATTTTAAACTGAGTTTTAGCTATATGTAAAAATATTAACACTTTAAAACACTCATAACTCACTTTAAAATTTTAATATTAATAAAAGCCTATGTGGATGACCTAGATGAAATTCTTGCCTTTAAGTTTAATAATAGCTAGGTAAATTCATTCAACTATTAAAGCTAATAACATAGAACGGATTCTGCTGAACGAAAAATTACCATATTGTATGTTTATAAGACAGATATAATACATAAGGGTGTAACGTCCTCTTAAATGCCGTTTTTTATAATTAGTGTAATACCAAAATGATGTTACGAATATATTTTCACTAGTATCTTACCATTATTATTAATTTATCAATATTATAGAACTTCTACATAATTTCTGTAAATCATTGTTGCATTTGTATAATATATAGATTTATCATTGGTTAATTGTTTGAAGAAAAAAGGATGTAAGTACTAAATAATATATCGTATTTTACAAAATGTAAACCTAATTGTAAATAATGTACTTTTTATTCTTTATTTTATCAAGTTTTGCTTGTAATTTACGGACTTTATATTATAATATGCATTAGTCTAATAACCACAATTGTTGAAGTCATAACCGAAAAAAAACGAGTATATAATAATAAGATACATTATTCATCGTGCACATTTATTTATGTATCATAGTCAATGAAAATATCGAATGAGCACATTATTCGCAAATTTTATGAGACAACAAATAACAATATTATGCTATAAGAAACTAGAAAATAATAATAGCTTACTCGACACTGTGGAAAATTGATCAGCCATCTTCGTTAATGCGACCTTGCAAATGGATATTTGATATCATAGATTAGTGGAGTTAATTAAATTCTAATCATCTTGCTTATACTTAGAGTGTATATAAAATTTACTATTGAAATAATAATAATTATAACAATATATTAAATATAAATATTATACAACGATTTATCAACCCACGATGAGGAATATTAATAATAATGCATAGAAATATCAAACAGATATCATTAAGAGTCATTTTAAAACCAGACCCACAGACAAATTAATTAAAACAGAAAAACCTTTTGGCGTAATAATACTCGTTTGATACGTTTTACTTTAACCAGATCCATTGAAGATACAACGTATTTAGCAGTGTATTATTATATTTTAATTTATAAACGTAATAATATATATATATATATATTATGCATATTGATATACAATTTATAATATGAATTTTCAACGAAAGCGATTATTAACAATTAAGTAAAACATTAAATTATTATAATATTGTATGTATAATATACATAATTAAATATAATATAGAATGTACGCCACGTGTATTTTGTAATCTTTCCTCGTAATTGCACGCTTCATACCAACAAGTATAATCTGAATAATAAAATGTAAAGAGAGACAAATTAACGATAGAAATCAACTATTAAAATGAGTGATTTGAATTAAGTGAATGTTATAAAGAACGTTGTGTTTCAAGTCAACAGTTAACAAACGGTATATTCAAGTATTTAACTTTACACGCGTATAAGTGTAAGTTTACATGGAAAAAACGTTAATTTAACTTAGTAAAACAAGTTAATGTTGTTATATTTTTAAACTGAGTCGCACATAGTGATTGAGCAATTTTAAAATCTCTTAAGAGTTAATAAAACATTTTTTTTTTTTTTTTAACCATCTTCTCACATTCCTTCTTCTAATACACCTGTAGAAGTTTCGACAATCACACGTTTATGTACATTTATTTACCTAATTAACCATGTCTTGCTGTAATTTATTTTCTTTTTTTTTTAAATCATTATAATTTTACGTAGTACAATTAAATAAAATAAGTATTGAAAATGTATTGACATGGTTGTATTATTGTATTATTTTTAATACTAATTGGAAAAAGTTTAGTTATTATAATGGATACTTGTTTTAACTAGTTGAATTATTAAATTAATTAGAAAAGTTATTAACCAAGTTTGAAAGTTTAAAAAAAAGTCAAGCTCTTAACTAGTTAATGACCCGACTTCGATAAAACAATATATCCCACTGTGCAATTTAAGTTTTTAAACATCCTTAAAATGTTAATTTTAAGTTACAATAATAACATAATTTTATAACGTTTATTTTATATAATATATTTGTTAAAAAAAAACATCAATATTTATTACACGAAATAAACATTCAACGAATGTATGTATTTCCAAATATAAATACATCAAATAAACATAGCAGTAGAACGTTGTAAGAATATTTGATAATAATAAAAACGCCACCTATTTTAGAATATAATATATTATATCAATTTTATGTTCTTTTGATGTTGATAGCAATCCAAAAATATATTAAATTATTATGTACTCCGCCATAGATATGGGTTTTATTTTTAATTTATAAATAGCGGCTGAAAATAGTTTTATTATTATAAATTATCAACAATACCCAGAAACACCACCGATAACCGTCGTCACTCGTGACTCGTCAGTCGTACGTTAATTATTATTTTTCTACAGCAGATATAACAGTAAATGTGTTTTTTTGATTGTGGACGAATGTTCACATTTCTCGTGACTCTTGTTTTCTACTTGCAATAGTACGACAATACAGCAGTAGATACATGATACATGCATCACGTATCCAGCTGATTAGTATCCTGTCATCGTTTTTAGATCGTTTTAAGACTTAAAGTGTATCATGGCAACTAGAAAGGTAAGATTCATTACTGTATACAATACCTACTTAGTAGTATATTATAACTATTATTAAAGTCAAAATGTGCATTTTCGGGCCATGCCCTTGTAGCACTGTCATCCGATATTTCTACCTCCATAATATGTATCTATATGGCTACATATTGATACTCGATATGTCAATATGTGACAACATACATGTGCATTAACCATTGATTATGTTTTAAGTTTTTATTTCGAACAATCAACAAATACAGTTCATGAATAACCAAGATGATAGTGATTATTTAGTTATGATTTTTTCCCCTATTTGTCCTAATGATTAAGTATATTATGTTCAAAGTTTCCTTCCAAAAACATTCCATTAAAAAAATTCTTTCTGTCGTACCTATAATTTATTTTTATAACATATTTTTATTTATTATATATAATAGTTTAATTTATTTATTCTTTATTAAATTTAAATTTCTCATTAATTGTATTGCTTATTTTAGTTATAAATAGGGCTAGGATTTATATGCATTTGCATGTTTTTTTCCTTAAGTCCAAATTTAATGGTTGTCAGATTTGTCCACGATTTGGCTAATTCTCGTTTAAATAGAACCAATTTATTTTTGCATATTTTTGCATATTTTGAACACAATGCATATAATTGCATATTTATAGATTTTTGGAATTTTGACTTTTTTTAACTTAAATTTTCAAATTTTTATAATTTATTGTTAATTTTAAATGGTGTTTTTTTCATAAAATCGATAATTTTTGGTTTATCCGTCGAATTATTGTAAGTATAAAGTATAAATATTATCTATCTAAGAAATCGATATTGATTAACTCCAGGATAAATCGCATTATTTAAAATATGCACCAATAACCTCGTGTGATGTGGAAAGGAGTTTTAGTCAGTATAAATCTATTTTACGTTCAAATCGCTGGATGTTTGTATTTGAAAATTATTGAAACAACACATTATAGTAGCATGTAATAATGATATAATATAAACTAATATTCAATATTTTAATGTAATAATAATACAATTTTGAATTATGATAAATAATAATACTCTAGAAATAATAAAAATTTGTTTTTGCATATTTTTGCATATTTTGGTAAATAAAATGCATATTTTACAATTTTTTATTGCATATAAATCCTAGCCCTAGTTATAAATAATACAATTTTTTACCAGAAAATGTGTGTAATTGTTTCTATCTGATTCCTCTTCCATAACTTATAAATATCTATATTATTTCAGTAAATCAGAAAAACTAAAGTAACAATCATCCATCTAAACTCAATATTATTACAATAATGTTACAAAGAAAGTACCCATTTCTTTAAGATTGGAAAAATAAATATGCACCTAGCTATCAGTGGCATAGCCAGTTTCATATTTTTGCCTATAACAGTAGATATTACCTACCTAATAGGTGCCTTTAATTTTTTTATCAAGTTTAGTCATTAGGTATTGCTACTATATTTCAGATTTCTAGTGCATAATAAATAAGGTAGTTGATACTCAACTAAAAAATAAATGTTGAATGTTTTTCCATTTTAGATTAAAGTTAGTTGGGTTATTGTGGTATTTGTGGATTCGAAGGATTACAGTGTAGTACCAACAAAGTGGCTAGTTCAAAATGACACAAATAATCTAGAAAATAGTAATGTAAGGTTATGTAAATGGCCACTTGGTCGAGTAACCAGTACTGACATTCATGACGCCCTAGATCCAGATCCAACTTGGTTTGAGTATGGTATTAAAATAGTTGGTGGCAATAAAACATATGGTATGTAAAATAAAATCTATTTAATAGTTTACAAAGTTTATATTTATTATTATTTTAAGTATGTAGTATGGAACCTGTATGTTATATTTTAAAAAATGTAAACACTTATTTTAAAAATTAAATTTATTTAATAATTATTTTGTTTTGTTATAATTTGTTCTAATCTAAAATTTACCAACATTTTAGATAATTTTAAAAAAGCTTGGCATGTAAGAGTTGAAAAAGAATCGGAAAATGAGGAGGTTCATTTGATGACCAAATGTAAACGTGCATCAACGATATTTGATGTATCAAGCAGTAGTAATTAAATTATCAAATAGTAAGGCAATTGCATTATCATTATGTCATGAAATATTGTAAGCACAGTGGAACTTCAACTACTTACTATATGTTATACCAAAAAATGTTTAGTCCATAATTATCTATATTTCTTTCTTATATCTATATTTTATATTGATTTAATATCATAATAAATGCTTAGTTGAAGTCTAATTGGTTTTCTGTTTTTTGTTAATCTGCATTTTAAGTACCTACCTATCTATTTTATTTAATAGGACTTACGAATAACATTAGTAGGTAAGTAATCAAGAGTCGAGACACATTAAAGGTATATTTTAATAATGATAGCATACTGAAAAATTTAATTGATGTTCACAGATATAATATAGATAATTAATTAGTATGATTTATATCTATATCTGTTATGACTATTATAGCCATTTATAAATGCATGGTAGGTATGTAAAATATGAGATACATCCGATATATCTTATTGCTGTTAAATAATCATATAATATTTATGTTATATTTTAGTATTTAAAAACTTTCTTAGAACATAAATAAGCAGTTTTATTATAATGTTTTTCGTCTGTTTCGATAAAACACATATTTTATGTTTAATAAAACATAGTTTTAACATAAATTTCATGTTTGGTGAAACAGAATTTTAACATAATTTTAACATCAAATTGACGTTTACTATTTTGTTATATTTATGTAAATATTACATAATTATCAAGTAAATTTTCGCGGACATTTGCAGTTCATATAATGTTAAATTTACGTAAGTTTTACAATAATTTTTAACGTTTTAAGTAAACTTAAAACATTTATAAAACATAAATATTACAAATTTTTGCACAGTGGGATGTATACTGTACATAAAAGATGTATTTACTCACTTCTTGTTAAATTTTAAAATATATACAATAAAATATTCAACTAAATATTTGATAATTCTTGATAGGAATTTATATTATTTATTTGACTTTTGAAATATTTGTAGGAATAATTGGCCATCTCGTAACAAAATTCACCAGAATAAATATTTATTTATTTATTGAGTTAAATAAATGAAAAAATACAAATAATATTATTATAATAATCATCATCATAGTGGAGATTTTGATGTATTAGTGTATATTTCCAGGCTTAATTATTAATCTTAGCCCAGTACTCAAGTGAATAATACAATATACAGTTATACATCTTAACCTATTGGGAGATACTGTTTAGCTTATTTGAATATAAATTTTATTTAGCATTTTTTAGAACATTTTAACGATCATCAATATAAAATAAAAATATGGACAACAATTTGCTATATGGTAGGTAACAAGTAGGTCACTGAAATGGGTATATTAAATGTAAATTCGATTACATATCATTGTTTTAACAGAAAACGATTTTGAACGGAGATGGGTATCTCAATCTATATTATCAAAAATATGTTTTGTTATATTATGTTTTTTTGAAATCGTTATCAAAATAGTTTATTTTATTATTAGTATTATGATAGGTTGATTCAATTTTTTTCAAAAACCTTGCACTTATTATTTTTATTAATTTTTGGGTCAATACCACCTTATAGTAAAATAGTGCGAATGAGTTTATAGTATATATGTTTATATTTAAAATGTTTTTCCTTAATATTTTTTTTGTTTTTCTCAATTAGTAAAAGGAAGTAATGAATATTTTAAATTTTGATCCTCCTCTTCTGAAAGTATCAACTAGATCTTTTTTTTTGTCAAAAACCATTCCCAAAGTTTAAAAACAGAAAATTTTACTATCCAAAAAGATGATGACAGATAAAAGAAGTATCGCAGAGTCGTAAAGTTGAACATTCATCGTCCCGCTTGAAATATTAAGTAAGAAATGCATATATTATACTTTTCAATGCACAAATATTTCATTTCGTGAATCGTTTAAAATCTTACATATCTAATTTCCGAGAAACGTAGATACCCGTAAAAATTAATAACAAAAACTTAAAAAAATATGGTGTACATATTTAAATAACATAAAAAGATCGGTTAACACTGCAGTAATTAATGTTTAAATTAATTCACTCGACTCCTCAAATATTGGTTTTATCGGAAAAATATTTAATTACAAAACGATTGTAAAAAATGTTAATTCTTTCAGAACAAATGAAATTCCAATTCAATTATAATGCGTGGTATATACCTACCTATAACTTCAAAATGAATCATAATAATATTCATTTCGTAAAATAATAAATTAAATGTACTTTTGTCATTTTAAAAACAGAATTTTATTATATTTTCATCTGCTGACACGTATCAAAACAATTTCAAGGTCTGTATTATATATTTTTTGTGTTAAAATAAAACAAATAATAATAATTATGATTTGAAAAATTCGTAAATTATAACCTGCACAATAATAATAATACAGTCTTACTATATTGCAAGCATGTTGATCGCCATGATCGCGGTATAAACCGACCTGAAAATGTTTATGGAAGTCCGTATCAACTTTTACGTTCAAATCGAATCAAGTATCAAATCGACCATTTTATATATAAATAAATAAATATATATATAATAAATAATTCAGGTTTAACGTTATAGTATTTATTTATTTTTTTCTAAAACGATTTCGCAATTCCGCGAGAAGTTTTCGCGTTATTTCTATTATTATTATTATTATTATTATTTCTCGGACAGGCTAAGCCCCTCGAGCTATTTCTATTTATGCGAAATCCGATATCTGTGTACAAAATAATATATAATGTATTGCACACACTCATACACACACACACACACACACACTCATTTGATGCCATTGTATTGCCGCGGTCCTGCGTACGCCATTCATTTCGAACATTTAATTACAGCTGCGGGTATACAAACAATAAATTATGTATTACACATTTTAAAATAGCGCAAACCTGTCTCATATTATCCACGTTCGCATGCATAATGTATAGGTATGCGCTTATAATAATATCGTAACCGCGGTATTATAATACGCGTAGGTAGGTAGGTACGCGCCAGATTTAGAGAAGCGTGGAGACTCCGAGACCGATATCGCATGATATTATTATTATTATTATTATTATTATTATTATTATTACGTGTCCGCCGAGACGAGAGCATTTTAATACTGGCTCCGCTTTCGCGCGTACTTACTACGTGCATGTAAGTCGTATTACTTATCAAAATGACGAGTACCGCATGCTAGTATAGTGTTCACGAATACAAGCTATAGCCGCGTTACCCGCATTCGCCGGGATTAAAAAACCGAACTAGATTTTTCTATCGTTCTCCTCCTCGTCTCGGTCGAAATACGATATCATAGTAACATAATGTAATACAAACGCGATATTACAACGATTAGTGCTTATGGTTTTTTAATCTCTAAATGATTCTGACGACCACGAATAGACTGGAGACAGATTATTATTCGGCGACCGCTAAAAACCCCACCTAAATCCGGTACCGTCTCGAGTGTTATGTTACAATCCTTCAACGAGTTTACATAAAAACATATGTCCAAGACTGAGGAAGCAAACCGTAAAGTAATAATATTGTAATATTTCAGTGTTTATGATAATATAATATTATTATATGACTAATGGCAACCAAACAAACAAGGCAATATCAAAAATATAATATGATGACTGTATCTATAGTATAATATATCTATATGTAATCTAACATAACCATTCACACCAATACTCTTACAATAAGTAAAATCAAAAACTCAATTAATTTTAACCAGTAACCATTATACAATAGTATACTCTATACCCATCATCCGTATAAAAATTAATAATTTTTTTAGTTGACGTTTTTTATGTTCAATAAAAAAAAAAATCTATTTATAGGTTGAAAAAAGAGCTATAAGCTATAAACGTTATACACCCCCCGAGTCTCGAGTAATCTATTGATATAACTTACATTGAAAATGGTCCAATAGTGTTATTGAGTCTATAGAAGACAAACAAAGAAAAAAACATTTATATTTATATGTTTATATAGATTTATTATAAGTACATACAGTATGATTCACATAGCATAAACTCACCCACATTAATTCAAATTTTAATGATTTTGGAGTGTAGATACTTAAAAACTATATTTTTAAATTCTTAGTTTTTGTTCGTATCATTTTCAGAGTGTCCTGTGATATTACAAGTATTACAATGATGACATATTCAAATAAGAAATGTACTTTAAACCTTTACTACTGCATATTATTAAGCGTTGTTTTACAGATCTCTTTTTTTTTTTTTTGATTCACCTATAAACCGCGATTGGAATGGGTAGTTTTTGTGTTCTTAAACTTTGTACAGTACTAAACAGATAATAGTCCTCAAAAGTGGACAAAATCTTGCAGCTCTTACAAAAATTTAAAATAGACGTACCTACCTAATATTTAAATTAGTATTCGTTTTATACATTTTTAAATTACAATAGATTAAATTATTAATATTAATTAAAAACATTATAAAATCATCTTAAATGATCACGAAGTGGCCTAGCGCTCCTTTTTGGTAAAATCAATCTTAAACATTGCATATAATCGCAAATTATTTTTTAGAATTTGCAAATAATAGTATATATGGTTTGTATATCATACATATCTTTTGAAATCTATTGTCATGGACGTAAATTGTCTTTAGCACACTATAATTTCAAGAAAGTACATTATATTTTTAAATCGTTTTCAAAAAAAAAAATATCTGCCTAACAATTCAAGCAAACAAGTATAGTTCCTTCTTATTCGAAAAAAAACATCAGTTATGTCACACGACACTTCTTAAATTATATTCAAAATCCAAGTACTTAATTTGAATATAATATGGTCATTAAGTGGTATACTTAAAATTTCCGAAAATCTAAATATGAATCAATTCATGTGTGAGCATATTTGGTGAATCACCCTGTATATATAAGTTACCGGATTTTCGAGTATTTCGTGGACTTAGGCTCACCCGGAAATCAAGCGCTGCCCAAATGTCCGTTTAGTATTCTAGATTTGTGTCAACGGATTTACAGATGGACCGACATTATAG